ATAACTAATTAAAATTATTTTCACATAAGTCACATAAATCCACAAAACAGGCTCATCTCATCTCCACAACTCAGCCTACACTCCCAGGGGCCCAGCTGCCAGCAGAGCATGATGTGCAGGTGGGTGTCAGGCAGCAGAGGCCTCCAGAGTCCACAAGAAGAAAGGACAGGCCCCTGTGGGGTCACTGTCTACACCGAGCTCACAGCGCCCATGTAGGGGACCCCACACAAAGGTAGGCCAACCCATGAAGCCCACATGGACATGGAGCATCATGATGCAGGACACACCCTCCAGGGGACATAAATCCTGCATCACCTCCATCCGTGGGTGTGGAGAAAGAGTGGCCTGTCAACAGGGAAGAAGTGGTTCCATAGAGCCAGGACTGGAGGCTGGCTCAGGGGTTACTGGAGGTCAGAGGGGTCAGGGGTGTGGGTCCTCCTCCCAGGAAGGGCTTCTGCAGGGGCTTCCATCTCCCACATGCATGCGAGGAGGGGAACCCGGCTTCCTATCAGATTCCCATGTGTGGGCATAGGGAGAATGGGGGGAATGTGTGTTGGGGCCGGGGGTTGACTTCTATGTTTTGGGGTGATGTGAAGAGCAAACAAGTCACCAGGAGTCGTCACAGAGCGAGCTCAAAGAGGCCCCTTCACTCTGCAGAAGTTGATGTGCAGTAAAACACAGGTGCCCCTTTGTGCGCCTGTGAGTATATCCAGAGCCATTCTGGTTTGTAAAGTCACCTTCTGCATCCGGGTGACGTCATCCAGCAATAGGGCTGGCGCGGACCTTGTTACATTCACAGCACAACAAGCTGTGCGAGGGCGTCTATTTGTAGTTCTACATCTATAGTGCCAGCTCCTGGAAGGAAGATAGCCAAGGGGTAAAACCACCATGGCATCCGTTTGGGATGATGCCAGCAGGAATGTACAGCATCCCAGTTATGTGTGGACCACAGCAAGGTTTGTGATATCTGTCCTGATATGTCGGGTGGCCCCATGTACAATGGCCCATCCAGTGTGCAGGGAGATAGGACCAGCCGTATTCCCCACATATCCAGATGGTTTCTCCTGGCCGGGAGTCGGTCGGCACAGTGCCCACATGGGTGTAACCATCTCACCAGCACTTAGGGGTGTGATTACCACTGGCATTGGCACACAGTTCTCTGGGTAACCAGCCAACCATGAGACTGGGTATGGAAACCTGCTGTTCAGTGCACAGTGGAGCTATGGTTTGCAAGGTGACACGTGTACTAGACATCCGTCCCCACCCATTATACATGGTCCCCCCCCAGGCACAGTGTGTGCTGACTGCCGGATCAACTGCTCAGTCACACACTGTTTTGCTTCACCTTCAGCATCACTGTGATTCCATGCTCGAGGGCGTTCCCACGCAGACAGGTTGAAGGGAGCGATTTCCACAGCAGTCCAGCATGATTTCCTTGGGCAGTTCCATACACACCCAGCAGTGGGAGGCACAATGTACCTGGGCTAAAGTACGGGCCCGTGCCACCATGCTATTGCTCTCTGTCAGCCTGGGCAGAAAGACAGGGCAGACAAAGACACCATCAACGGCAAGTCCCGGTTCTCTGGGAGGGTACAGTGACCTTGTCATCTTGTGACAAAACAGTGGCTGCCTGGGTGGCTTTCCTGGTCTTTGATACCAGACCACAGTGCCCAAGGACACTGGCATAGCATCAGGTGTAGCCTTCAACAGAAATTGTGGTATTAGACACACTCACATGACCAAAGACCCTGCTGGTATGGCTGTTGCCCTCTCTGGCAAGGAGGCAGTCCATTTAAAAGGCCACCTTCCTATCCATGGGGTAACTTGTGACCCATGGGTCAGCCCTCTCCCCATACCTCATACAAGGTGGTCAATGAATGTCCTTCAAACACCAAGGTCCACAGCCACGGCCACTCCTCTGACCGGCCAGGAGACAGCGTATGTGGGGCAGGAAGGAGCAATGTTTCTTCCAGCAACTGTGGCTGCAACTCACTGGGGCCTTATTTCAAATATTTCAAGATGTATGGATGAGTCACCACCGACCTCCTTGTGGGGCTTTCCCTGTTTTCCCTGGTGGCTCACTCAGCAAGCATACCACTGCAGGCAAGAGCTTCACCCACTGCATCCATGCTAAATGTTTCAGTCCCTCTTGCATGGGTACCCGACGACGATGCGGGTAAAAGGAAGTGCATTGAGCGCATGCTTGCACTGTTTGTTTTACATCAGCAAACGACAGCAGAATATTCCACCTCTGGGCAACTTTACCCATGTTCCTAGGGCCTACATGCCCTAGTTTCTTATGCAACCATGGCCCCATGTCTGTAGGGGGCATTCCTGGAGCATACGAGCCCTAGCCAAGGTATTGGCCACATCATTTGCAGGGCACAGTGCTGGGTGGTGTCCTGACATGCACGTATTAGGGGCCCTTCCTTTAACCCATGGGTCCACAGGTCCTTCCACATGGTTTGTCCCCACAGTGGGCGATGGCCAATTCCACAGGCCTGTGCTGCCCACTGAGGCAGCCAGATAGTGAAGCCCCAAAACCCAGCACAACTGTCAGTGCAAACAGTTATCTGACCAGATCCCCTAGTCAAAACAAGCCACATCACCTATAATTCAGCCCCATGGCTGGATTGCTCTACTCCGGACTCATACCAGAACTCTTCCTGTAAGGGCTGAATGGTGACGGCCACCCATGTTGGTGTGTGGCCCTTTGCAGGTCCATCTGTATACCAGGTGTCCACTGGTGGTGTCCCTGTCCCCTCCTCATAGGGGCATAGCATTGATGCTTCCACACTCAGTAAGGTGGGTGCGGGTCCAACCGCAAAAGTTACTGGTCCCAGACTTGCTGCGATTCCTGTGAAAGGGCTTTTAGAGAGTCTAGCCTGTTGTTCTAAGTAGGATCCCCATTTGGGCAGGGTGGGTGTCTGTGCAGCCCCAGTCCAGGGAGCTGTGGACCAGGCTCACACCCACCCCTCAATCGGAAGGGCAGTAACCACCTGTACTGCTTGCATTTCCGTGACTCCTTCAGGAGCCAGTAAGGCCGCATACACACTGCCAGCTCTTTTTCCAAGAATGAATAGAGAATCTCAGTTCCATTTTACAACTAAGGCTAAAATTATTGGGGCTTTGTGGGCCCTGTGCTTCTACCATAATCCCCACCTGTACCCATCCATGCTGGCAGACACCGTCAGCAGGAAGGTGTGGAGGGGTCAGAGACTCACAGCATCTGGGCCTCAGCCACTGCTCCTTTTGTTTCAGCAAAAGCCTTTTCTATCTCTGGTGCCCAGTCCCATGTTTCCCCTCACATTATAATGGATGCAGTGCCTTCACCAGCATGGCTAAGTGAGAGATAAACATTCCCCAATACCCCAACAGACTTACGTATGTTTGTAGCTGCCTAACATTTTCTGGGGGGTTACTCTTGTATTTTATCAATCACTGCTTCAGGTAGTACTTTTGTCTCACCCAACCAGACACACTCAAGAACTTGACAGGATAACCAGGTCCCGGCACCTTGTTTTTGCTGACGGCCCATCCCCACCCCTGGAGGGCCTGGTGCAAACTGCAAGCCGCAGCTTCTAGATCTGGGAGAGAATCAGAAGTCAACATTCTGTCATCTACATAAAGGAACACTTGAACCGAGGGTGGAGGGGACTGTGTGGCCAGGCCACTAGCTACCAAACTATGACACAAGGGCTCCATATCTATTTGAGGGACAATGTGTCCCACTGTCACTGGGCATTTGCCGGTTCCCAGATGCTGCAGGAACAAGCACACGGGCATGAATCTGTTAATCTGTGCTGTGTAAGTTTCACTGTGGTTCTGATGAAGAGAGGAAGTCACTGTCCCCAGGCCTAGAGTTAGTGTGGGGTCACTGCCTATGTGCTAGTCACAGGAAGGGGCAAGTCTGGAGTCAGCAAGAACACCACCTTCTATCTGTGTGTGTGTGTGTCTCTCCTGGATTGTAGGCAAGCAATGGGCTGTGTTTGACGTCCACTTGTGCACATATATTCAGATGGTATCTTGTCCAGAGGAGCCTAATGTCCCTGAGGGTCTGGCCTCACCCTGAGTGTGGACTTCCAGTGCATCCAGCAGCTTCAGGGAAGGGGCCCCCTGGGTGGCATGAAGTCCCCCCTGGTCTCTGTGCAGAGCATGTGGGTTTAGTAAGGTCCCTTCACTGTCTCAGGAGACGATGTCAGGGCACATGGTGCCCTGAAAGAGCACCTGAGGGAAGATACAGCCACTTACACTGGACTAGAGGTGCTGAGGGAGATGGCCTGGGAGCCCAGACAGGATGCACCCTGCAGGACAGGGGCTGGGCTGCAGGGGGCGCTGCTCCCCTGGACAGGACTGCAGCCCTGGAGCAGGTGCAGGGACTGAGAAGCCCTTCCCTCCTGGGGCCTGGCACTGACTTCCTAAAGAATTTAAATACAATTTAAAGATTCACACAGACACCTGGTGTCAGTTATAAATACCCTGTTCTTTAAGAAGTGTTTACCTAACGTAATAAGGCAATGGAGAGCCACCGGCAAAGTAGGCATTTCCAGGGTTTCTGCAAATCTGAGTAGGAAGAACTGCAGGACGTGGAGGGATTATTAACTGACTGGTGCAGCACTGACAGACAATGTGATCCCAGGAGTAAGACACTTAAGATTTCAGAACCCAGCACAGGGTCAGGGGGTCTCCGTGCCATTCAAGGTGGGCTCACAGGGAATAGGAGGGGCTTGTCCACCAGTGTAAGGAGCCCTGTCTATACTGAGTTCAGGGATGTGAGGGGACACATATCTATAAACAAGGATGGAGATTTCTGCTCCTCAACCCCCATGGACCCTTTGTTCACTACCTGCTGGTTCTCAGGTAGGACACATCCTTCCCTATAAAGTATTCTGCCTCATGAATATGCAAATGAACTGGGGTGCACCAGGTTAAACATGGGCATGTCTGTGCCCTGAGAGCATCACCCCAGGAGTGCACCCTACAGAGCACCGCCCCTCACCATGGACTGGAGCTGGAGAGTCCTCTTCCTGGTGGCACTGGCTGCAGGTGAGGGGCTCCCCTGTCCCTGGGCTGAGGAGGGGACAGGGCCAGTCAGGGGCATGTCATCCCCTCCCATGTCCTCCCGCAGGTGTCCACTCCCAGGCCCAGCTGGTGCAGTCTGGGGCTGAGCTGAAGAAGCCGGGGACGTCCGTGAAGATCTCCTGCAAGGTGTCCGGATACACGTTCACCAGCTACAATATGCAGTGGGTGCGGCAGGCCCCTGGACAAGGGCTCGAGTGGATGGGATACATCAACCCTAGCAGTGGAGGCACAGGCTATGCACAGAAGTTCCAGGGCCGAGTCACCCTGACCAGGGACACGTCCACGAGCACAGCCTTCATGGAGCTGAGGAGTCTGAGACCCGAGGACACGGCCGTGTATTACTGTGCGAGAGACACAGCGTGAGAACCCACATCCTGAGGGTGTCAGAAACCCTGAGGGACAGAGGGTGTGCTGGGCTGAGGAGGGACAGAGGACGATGACTTCCTGACTCCCTCAAACCAGATCAGGAAGGAGACAAAAATATAAATATGTCACAACACTAACAAGAATTAGAAAAAGAACACTAAAAGCAACAGTTGCTTCTTGCCACTTGAATCTGTGGAAAGGCCAATGAATATCTCAGAGTGTCTGAAATCCCTTTGGACCACTTGCTCTTTGCCTCCAGTGAACAGCTGATTTTGAAGAAATCAGAACTTTAGTAGATAAATTGTCCTGCACACAAGGAAAACTGGTTTAACAATTAGTTTCATAAATCCTAAAACCATTAGAAAATTCGAGTTTCACCCAAAAGTCAATTCTCCCATAAATGTTCACCCCACCCTCCACCACACACTGTAACCTACAATGGAACTAAAAATATAAGTTCATGAATGTCTTTCTTAAATGCACAATCATATGGCATCTCCACCATTACCCAGGGGATTTGCCTCTCCCTGTCAGCTCTGATGGCATTTGCAGTCTTGGAGTCTCAGGGCACCATGCCCACTGCCAGGACCCCAGACCACCCACGTATCTGGCTAGGCCCCCTCAACACCCTTCAGGCCTTACTGGCCGCCAGCAGTTCACCAGTAAACCTTCCTGGTTGAGATTTGTAACGTGAATGTGATGCTGCTGGAAGCAGCGGTGAGAAGGCTGTTCCTGGGCCACTTCATTAGACCAAGTCCCTGTTTCCTCCTTTCCCTGCTGGAAGCTCACCCTGATCAAAGGCCCCTGAGAGGATGTGTCGCATCATCTCTGGGCGGCACGTGCAGACGGAGCTGGGTTACTGTGCCGGGCAGGGCCGTGCGCATCTCCTGGGACGGAAGAAGCCCTGCCCGTCAGCGGCTCATAGTCTCTCTCCAGAGATTCAGGGCAAGTCGTTGGCCCCACAGACGACTGTCTCCTGAATCAGGGAGTCCTGGGCGCTGCTGCCTCGCCCTGTAGCGCCCAGTCTTTCCAGGAATAAAGAAGGCAACTGTGACTCAGAAGGAACCGAATTGGACTGTCTGTCTCCGATGTAAGCGACGCAAGCCCTTTGTCATCCCTCAGCAGCCGGTGGGCCCGGCCAGCACGTCTCCCTCCTCAGTGCCCCCTGAGGCACCCTGGCGCCATGTCAACCAGAAAGCAAAGCTCTCAGTTGCTTCACCAGCAAAGGGGGTCTAGGTGGGAACAGCAGGGACCGCACTTCAGGAGGAGCGGTGGCTCAGCCCCGGGCATGTGCAGGGAACACAGGACAGCATGGTCCTTCCTGGAGCAAGGGGGCCTTGGGGGACTGTTCTCAGCAGAAAGCCCACGGGGGGAAACTGGGAGTTCCAGGTGTCATGGCTGCTCATTGGCTGGGTCGTAACAGCCTCTCATTGGTTGGACTGTTGCCAGGGGAGGTGGAAACTCTTCCTCCTCCTACTTAGCGTTAAAGCAGCCAGAACAGTGTGAGTTGCCAGGTGTCCCTCCCTTCCGTCCTGTGGGCTGTGCAGTTGCACTTCCAGGAGGGCGGGTGTGAGAGGTCCCCCTGCAGGCCTCTGATGCCTTGTCAGTCAGGTTCCTCTTTATCAGTTTTCACACTGCCCCCCTTTCAATCAAGATCTTCCATCAAAAGCAACACTGATCCAGAGACAAGTTTTCTGTATTGAGTGACCATCAGTGATAAGGACATTTCGGGGCTGTCATGTCCTGTGTCAGAGGGTTGTTTCAAAGCCCTTGGAAACACTTCTGGCCACATTTGAGTCACAAAAAGGGTTGGGGTGGGGAGCTCTCAGGCTCTTCCCATCCGTAATGCATGTTCAGGCGATCATAGGTGGTGATCGCCTTAGTACTGAGTACATCACCTTGACAGAAGTTTAAGAGGTGACACCACACAGAGCTTAGAATAATCATAGAGTAAAGAAGCAATGTGCAATCCCAAATTGGCCCTTATGCTTTATTTTAGAGCAGAAAAGATCTCCCATTCTGGCAAACGCAAAGGCAGCTATGCCTCCTGGAAGTCCCTGCTGAAATTGCCCACAAAAGCAGAATACGGGTCATTGTGAGAGCTCACTGAAGGAGATAACTGAGTGCATCTGAGTAAACAAAGGACAGGTGTGAACACGGAGCAACAGCTGACGAACATTTTGCAAGCAGTAGAAGCCAAAGACACTTCAACAGTAGTGTTATCTTGATCAGCACAGCCTGTAGGAATCCAAGGTCAGCTAACAGTGAAGCTAAAAGAAAGACTTTGGCTGTGCCTAGCTCACTAAGCCCTCGGAAAGAGCTCAAGGGATTGTACTGTGGCGCTTCCAAAAGGACGTAAGCAGAGATGGGGTTTCCCCATTTTTACAAAGGTTTCAGAAACTCATGAAGGGCGTTTCATTTCCATGAAGGAGAAAGAAGCAGGAAAGTTTTCCAGGCCGCATCCCTGTGATGTGGGAAAGCTGTGTTGTGAGGTGTCGCTTGCTCCCCTTCCGGGAAATCCTTACTTCCTGGTCGCCTATGGAGCTCAGGCCAGGCAGGACTTGGTGCCTTTCGTAAGATGAGTCAGAAGAAGCAAGGAATGTATTCCTTGGAGCTTGGTGCCACCAGGGTTGGTTAGAAGCACTTAATAAGGGTGAGAGATCCAGTAAAGTGGAAGAGAATCATTCTGAGGTCTTTGCATTAGACCAAATGTCCATTTTGTAAGGTTTGATGCTTACAGTTTCCATATCCTGGAGTGTGGGGTGAGAAGCTTGCTCTACCAAAGCGTTGCTCTTTTCAATAGAAGAAATTAAGCCTTTAAGGTATTTCCGGTATATCCACTTATCAGCTGTGAGTCAGACGAGGCAGGGGCCACATGCAATTGTGCGGCCCAAGACTGACTCAAAGGCTGAAAGCATGCACGTCCCAAAGGGGGTGGATCTGAGACTTAGGACCAATGGCTATTCTTTTGCTCATGGTAGTTGGGGGATCTACAAGTTTTGCCATTTGCATCTTAAGAGTGCCATTACTGCCCACAAGTAGGTCAGAGGATTGAGGATGGTAAGCACAGTGGAAGTGGTGAAATCGACATGAAAGTGCTGACTTGGCAAGGGACCTGGGCCAGAACTTCGGTTCACTGATAGGTGGTTATTCCAGAGGGGTCCCCCAGGCAGGGGTCACCACTTACAACTGAATTTAGCCCCTTAAAAGGCATTGGCCTGTGTACAAGGGGTGACCTCATGTCAGTGAGGAAACATACAACTCATTTACTAACATATATTTATATCCACGAGGTGGAGTAGCTGCATGAAGCCAATTTGCCAAACCTCAAAAACTTCATTGGGAAATTGTAAATGCCCAGGGGCAGCATGTCAGGGCAACAATTGAGGCACTTTCTGTAGCCTGATTCACATTTCCCAACAGTACAGCTCATGAACACTGTCATTTTGTCAGCAGACCCAAGGTTTGATGCATGCACAGGGGTAAGCGGAAGCTTCGAATTTCTGGTAGGGTGGGATTGTTATTCGGACCAAAACAGAGTTCTCTCCTTTTGCCCAACCAACAATTATGAAATTTCTAATGTCAGTTTTCCTTTCCCTGGGGCCAATTGTAGGCTGTCCCTGGTCAGTTTTCCCAAATTATCGCTTGTGAGAACATCCCTTGGAGCATGAGAAAACTGTGGCCATTTGTTCCCTGGGCGGCAATGTTTTTCATATAAATATCACCAAGGTGGCTTCCTTTGTCCTTCAGGGATGACGTCTAAAATGCCCAGGTGACTTAACTCCCAGAGCCACTGGTGGAAGTATGACATCTAATATATTTGAGATAAAGAGATGAGGAGAAGGCAGGAATAGAAATCCTCTTTGTGGTTTACTGAGTTGTATTAGTAGGGAACTTGCAGGCCTTAGAGCAGCTGGAGAATGTCCTGCCCAGACCCTGAGACCATCCTGGGGCTCAGGTCCCACTGACCAACAGGTGGGAATTCTTACAGCTGTGTCCTGCCCAGGTCCTTGGGAACGTATACTTGGCTGAAGACTGATTGTTATAAAACCTTCAAGCTTTTCCTATTGCTGCTGTAGTCTCTCAGGTCAGCCCTCCATTCCCTCTGCGTGGGTTAGAAGAGTTTCCTGTACATGCCATGGAGAGTCTAAGGTGATCTTCTGGTGTTAATTACTTGTGAAGGGACTCATCTGGATCCAAGTAGTTCCAAAATCACACATCCTAAGAATCAAACCTGAGCTTGAGAATAAAGCTGACCGGGCAGAGGAAAGACCTCTACTCTGAAAACTGTAAGTCACTGATGGAAGGAATTGAAAAGGACACAAATAAATAGAAATCCTTTCCCTGCTCATGGATAGGAAGTTTAATATTGTGAAATGGCCATCCTGCACAAAGCAGTTTACAGACTCAATGCCCTCCCTATCAAAATACAAGTGACATTTTTCAGTGAACTAGAGACACGAACCCTGAAGTCATAAGGAGTGAAAAAGTACCCCATATATCCAGAGCAAATTTGATAATGAACAATGCTTTGGGTATTATGCTCCCTGACTTCAGGCTATGCTACACAACTACAGTGATTCAACCAGTATGGTCCTGGCTAAGGCCACCACACAGATCAGTGGAACAGAATAGAAAGCTTGGATATAAACCTATGCATATATGGTCAATCAATATATGACAATGAGCCGTGAATATACAATGGGGAAGACAGTCTCCTAAACAAATAGTGCTGGGAACACTGGACAGCTACATGGAAGAGAATGAAATTAAATCACTGTCTTACACCAAACACAAAGTAAACTCTCAGTGGATTAAAGACCTAAATGTAAGGCAGGAAACAATAAGTCTCTGAGAAGAAATTATAGGAAATAATTCCATGAAGTTCACCATGAGGAATTTCTTTATGGATTTGTCTCCCCAGGCACAGTAACTAAGCAAACAGAAATAAGTGGGACGACATCAAACAGAAAAGCATCTGCACAGCCGAGGAAACT